ATACGGATTTGATGCACGAGAAAATAGTGCATATTGGATGTGAAGAAGGGAGCAAGTTGCACGTGGGGAAAAAAACGCGCCTGATTTAAATGTCACACCTGAACGCCCACATCCTTTTAATTATGTTTGAAATTATGAACATTGCTCAACATCATGAAAATTAAACCTTATTTTCAATAAGCAATTCTGAAAAATATTTGGGGGTGCTTAACTTTTTTCCAAGTGTATATATTCACCACATACAACATCCCCCTTCCTTCCCAAAAAAGTGCAATTTAAAAAATTCACAAATCTTTACACAAGGCCTTTGGCACTATATACAAGGTCAAATTATGGACAATATATTTAATTGTATTACACTGTTATCTGTGGAGTACTTTGCTTTAACAATCTTTGAATGTGTGTAGTTTTTTATGTACATATAATTGAATGTTATTGGTAGGAAGGAATTTTTTGGGGGGAACATAATTTGGAGTCATTCATGCTAATGTATGCTATTTATTTGTTTTTCTTTCTTTGAGGTTTCTCGGGGATTTTACTTATGTGCTCGAGACCCAGAAATTTGGCGTCTGGCTTGCTTAAGGTGAGTATTATAATCCAAAAAGTTTGGGTGAGAATCGTTTGGAAGTTTCTTATAAAAATAAACTTTCTTGATTCTACTAGTAGAATATATATGAACTCTGTATTGTTACTTTTCAAGCTTTTATTTATGTCTGACAAGAAGCTAATACATGTGTTTATGCATAATAATTACTAGGGTATGGGATGTTAATTGTGGTCATCCCAACAAATATGGCACCTGGAGAGACATGTATGTGCAGAGACCCAGGCTCAGATTTAATGGTTAGTTTATTCGATTTTTTATTTTTTGTTGCAGGTCTGAGTAATCAGTGTATATTTTAATTTCTTATTGGTACTTTATTTTGATACTTGATGTCTTAATTTTATCTAGATACTCAACTGTCAAAGTGTATTATTGCTGTTTTTTTTTTATAAGTTTTGTGTGAAATAATTTGATTTCTGTTAAAACTTAAGTGAATTAGGTTAACTCTTTCATAATTGTTTAATTTTTAAGTGATAGGAGAGGAATGCTTTACACATAAATCTCTACTTTGATTGGCAGACAAAAATATTTAAATATATTATCACATGAATAGAAACACTTGTGTAACACGTTTCAGTGTTTGGTGGAAATACATAATTTAAACTTCATTGTTATTAACCAGGTGCATACATCAGTAGGACAACTTATGTGAGGTATGGGGAAGCAATGTTTCAGGATGCCAGCTACAGGCCGTGCTATCTAGTGGAATACTACCGTTATTTACGGTTCTTCCCTGATGGTAAGTTCACTGAATGTGTCAGAAAAAAAAAATTTTATTACTTAAATTCTGGGAAGAAACCACATACAAATTTTAAATTATTTTTAAGCATTGTTAAATAAAGAATGGTCAAGAAATGATCTTAACATCAAAAAATAGTTTTTGTATGACTGGAATTCTATGCTTATGCAAATGGTAAGAGTAAACCTTAACCTTTATTAAATAAGATTTAAAGTAAGGTGTGTAAAAAGTAAAATGGGTAAAAATAACTTTATATTGAGAAAATAGGCAGGTGCAAATGGTTTTAATATAGGGGAAAATTAAAGTAGTCATCACAGATTTTATACAAGTAATAAAACAAATTTTTGAAAAAACAGGGATGATGTAAGGATGGCAATGCCAAAAAGTACAGAAACAGGGTAGGGACGAATACACAATACCATACAAAAATCCCACATTAGTAGCCAAATCTTTCCAAGAAAAACTTTTTATCTACAACTAAATGTTGAATTCCTTTCATTTGCATGAATTCAAGTTTGAATAAAAGCATTTAAACTGAATATTGCTATGAAGTATTACAATGGCTAGTTCCCATAAGCTTGTAATATTGACTCAGTGACTATTATGTGGGGATTTTTGTATGGTTTTACATATTCATCCCTACCTCGTTTCTGTACTTTTTGGCATTGTCATCCCTACATAATCCTTGCTCTATGAAAAGTTTTTTTTTATTACTTGTTTCCCCCTTTTTTTTAAACAATACCATTGAATATTTTATAAAGAATGGCAGTTGCTATGAAGGCAGCAGTTTTAGCCTGGTAAAATGAGTTGTCTTGATGGACATCATGTGTTAAGTTAATGAAATGCTATACTGCTTCTGCAACAACTTCAAGCATTGGTGAGTTAGCCTTCTGATGCCAGAATCAGAACAATTAGCAGAACATTTGGCTGTTACTCTTCCTGCTGGTTCTCTACCTAAGTGATGTATTTTGGCTAAACGAAAGGTCTTAGCTTTTGAAAACCTCAAAAACCTAAATTAGGTGTTCATAATAGTCTCTTAGATTAGATTGTTATAAGAGAGATTTGAGAATATGATCAGCAATACATAATATGTGTGGGCATTTTGTTCTTGGCCCATCCCTACATACTAAGCACTACCATGCTTAGTGTTAAAAATATTTTTTAGTTACAATTTATAGTTCATAATGTAGTGTGTTTGGAACATTTTTGCAATAAGATTAAAACTTTTCTTTTGTATGTAATTACTGAATATTAAAGCAGTTTACATATTCATACCTTATCTAACTACCTCAGAAATAGATATGTGAAAATCAATAACTATTTAAATATCTCTATTTCTTTTACAATAGGGTCTAAACCTTAATTTCTAATTTAAAATTAGTTATTGGTTTCTGTTTGTTTGTTGTTGAGCACAAAGCTACACAACTGACTGTCTCTGATTTGTTCAACACCCAATTTTTTATGTTATTGGCCCTCAGGCTTACAGCTGAACCACCAAGGGTCTGTGGTTTTTAAGTTTATGTATTAGTAAATCATTATTAAACTTCTTTCTTAACATATTATGTGGTATTATGTATATAAAATGTTTTTCTGAACCTTATTTAAAAATTGGCCTAAATTTATTTATTTGTTTATTTATTTAGTTCCATAACACTTGATATATTCTATGCTTTTGCTAGGATTTCTATTACATTTTGTTACTTTTTAATAAGGCTAATTTTTGGTTCTTGTGGGGAAAAAAATCACCAAAATTCAGTCTTTAGTTTTTTTTTTAATTTTCAGGTATGGTCTTCATGTTGACCACACCTGATGATCCCTATCAGTCTCTTGCAAAGTTACGCCACCGAAAGGTTCGTCACACAACTGTGCTTACTGGCCACTATCGACTGTTGGGTAACTCTGTGTCCATTATTGCCAAACGACCGAAAGTTGAGCTCCCTGTAGGTAGCAACTATTTCCGATATCGCCGTAACAAACAGAATTTGTCTCATGATCCAGGGGAACAGCAGTATCACCTGGTGGGTGATTTTTATACACTTCCATTCAGTTCACTAATTCTTGAATATTTTTAATGAAAGGCTTGTTTAGTTTCTGATGTTTGTGGGGATTCATTCGTTATTTTTGGTATATACCTTTTAACACCTGCCATGTGAGTCAGCCTGGCATATTTTAGTACTGACTTTAGGATGGTGAACAGGAGGGTCATTCCAGAAACTGGTGATTTAGGGTTATTTCGGTAGATCTCGAGGAATGAAGCTTGGCAGAACTTCTAAAGCAAAAAAAAAAAAAACTAAAATATTAATGAAAATATGACATGATGTAATCTATGTGGATTATACTATGGTGGTACCATAATGGACATTATACCATCCCTCTTATTTTTACTTTTCATTGCAGAAATGGCATTTTTAATTTGAGATTTGCTACAAAAATCATCTTTTAATGCATCGTGCATCTTTGGGCTTTATTGTACTGTTAGTTTCACCAATATTGAAACTAATGATTTGTTACATATGATTCTAATCCCCTTTTTGAAGATAACGATACTATTGTGCCTGTTGTTTTATGTTTCACTGTCAATGCAGTAATCAATTGACAAATCTCCGATTCAGCTGGTATGTCAAATCAGTTGGGATATCTTTGAGTAAGTTTTTCTCTCATCTGACCTGGACCCACAGTTTAGCTTATTTGCTTCACTTAAACCATCACATTTGCAACCAAATTTAGAACATGTTAAGCATGTTTCATTGCATCATTGTTTTACTCTACAATCACAAGTTAACTTCTCCATGTTGACCCTCATGGTCTCAGGTCAGGTCATGGGTCCAGCATACTAGACCTCAAAAATAGTGCCAAATATCTCCTTTTTGGAATGACTCGTTTTTTGGATCCACATCAAGATGCCAGGCTGGCTCGTGTGGCAGGTGTTAAAATTCAAATAAAAAAATTGTTGCTGAAAACATTTAGATTTGTGAATTTCTAATTGCTGTGACTGTATATATATATATATATATATGTGTGTGTGTGTGTGTGTGTGTATATGTATCTATCTATCTGTATATATATTGAATAATATAATTGTTAGTTATTATTTTTGGAGAGAGAAAAAAGTGCTACATAAGTGCATACTAGGGCAAAGTGGGCATGTCACAAACCTTTGCACAGTTATGTTCCATATTTAAATAAACAACTGTAATATCAGTGTATGTCATTAATCTTGGTATCAAACTATAGTTTATATTTCAAATATTTATATTATGTTAAGTTTAATTTTTTAATTAAAAAAATAAATATTGAAAAATAGTCTCATTGTCTGAAAGTTATAATGTCAGTAATAGGCTTCTACAATTTCCAACCAATTAGAAACACAAAATTATACATAATTACAAGCCAGAATGTAAAATTTGAATCTACTACCTTCTTGATTTACTGAAATATCAATAAATTTGTCAAAGCCATCAGAAAAGATCCTTCTATCTCTCTCTGTCTTTCAAGATCTATTACTAATCACCTTTACATTGCTGGTGGACATGTGTGTGACCAATAGGAAGTACAGATTCCCTTATACATGAAGTTTACTACAGTTATTACTTTTTGACATGCATACATATACAGTCAATGGCAGAATTTTTTTAACCTATTTATAACTTAGTTAGAAAGCAACATAAAATATAGTAGTTTTGGTGTTGAGATAGTAACTGATTTATTTTTTATGTTTTGAAATGCATATTTGAAAGGCTACATGAATTTTTATTTGCTTGTGAGTGCAGAGATCATGCAGGTCACACATTCTGCTCATGGTGTTTATAAAAAATAGTCAATGTGATTTATTGCTTTATCAAACCCTATGTACAGTTTGGCTCAGTTTAAGGTAAATGTTCCTATTTTATATATACTTTTTTGATATCTAATACCATCTAAATAACTGTAATCTTCTGTATGTTGTTTATCATTATGGAATGTAATAAATAGTAAATGGTGATACTGTTTAAAGATGGCACTGGTTGTTTTGTTGTAAAAACTTGTGTATGACGAAGTACCAAGATTTTTCTTTTGTTGTATTTGTAAACATTTTATTTGTGTTGCAATTGTACCTCATAAAAGATAATCACTAAATATACTCTATATTATTCTTAATTACACCCTACTTGTTAGTCAGTAAAACTGCAACTTGTTCAGTAGAGCTAGTCTCATGGTTACTAGTTAGAAATTACATGAATAATATTAACGAGACATCATTCAGTCATGCCAAAGGAATACAGATGTGTCATATGCCAAATGGTGTGTGGACATGAAGGATTAAAGTGCATATCAGGACCATGTGGTGGACAACAAAGATGCCTTTAAAGGAGACAACTTCTGTAGAAGATGATGATGTCACTTGTACCAAATTTAGTCACAGGACTATTATTCTAGATGCTGTGTACCTAATGATCTCTCTTTAGGTAAGAGTGGAATCAACAAAAAGTGATCTGAACTACACTCCTCTTCCACATTTCACTCCTGGTGTATTGGTTAAAACTGAACATTAGGTCAGTGGACAACAGTCATGCCAACTGTTTTATATGCTCCAAACGTACTCAACTGACTGTTGTTATGCATGCTAGAGCTGCAAAAGTCTTTTGATTGGAAAGCTTTTTTGTATTTAACTCTTGATAATAGATACAGAACTAAAAACCAAATCAGCAGTCACAACAAAAAAAAGGATTTGACTGATTATTTTTTAGAGAACACATGCATCAGAGAACAAAGAAAAGTGGAATGGTTTGATAGGTGTTACGAGTTAACTGATATTAAATACTTTAGTCCAACCACTTATTTTATTAGCCTGTCTTCCAGGAATCTATGTTTTGAAGAATACATATGTAAGATCCATGCAAACCTTATTAATCATCATACTATATTATCCAACAAAACTGTCTAAAAGTATGTGGGATTTAAAAAGTACTTCAGAATGCACAAACAACAATCACTCAAGAAACCAGTGGTGGGTGTATCCACTGATGAGAGTATTGTATCAGTTCTTGGTTCAAATCTTCTTGATGGGTAAAAATAATGATGCAGCAATTAATGATCACATATTCTGAAATGATATTGAAAATGTTTTCAGGAAGCAACAACATGACACAACTCGTGATTTAGAGATGTGTTGAATCTTTCTTTACAAACACGTAGAATAAGAGCAGTTCTTCAGACCAAATGTGTTGATGCACAGTATATTTTAAGACTTTCATTTCACACTTTTAGATTTAGAGCAAGTGGAATGGTATATCATTTTAAGAAGGAAAAAAACTTGTTTTATTTCCTCTAAGATCATCAATAAAAGATAGAATAGAAATCTCAGTATTGTAATACCTGTATTAGCATTATGTATTTTACATGCCCATAATAATTACATTTTAAGTTTTGTTGTTGCCCTGATTTATATATATATATATATATATATATCAAAAATAAATGAGTAAATATGTTTTATTCCAGTTGTTGTTATGTCATTACTTGGTAAGATGTTCAGATAATTCCCCCCCAATGGGGCAGCAGTAAGTTTACAGACTTACAATGTTAAAATCTGGTGTTCGATTCCCTGCGGCGGACACATCAGATAGCCCAGTGTAGCTTTGCTCTATAACTAACAAACAAATGTTCTGATAGGAACAATTAAAAATATTGTTTATACTGTCTTAAGTGCAAAAAATATTTTTGTTAACAGCATAGCCTATCCAATACTATTTTTTTTTAATGCTTTAAGAATGTTGTTATTAGGAGTCACTTTCTTTTTATTATAGAAACTTGAAGTTAGAAATATAAAGCACCGTACAAACTTTCAGCTTTTGTGGCAACATTATGCTATACATACTAAGTACAGGTAAGATTACAGGTATTTTTACAATGAACATATATTAAAGAATTTTTGTGTTGTAGAATTAATGTGTTGTCGTATTAATATTTAAATTAGTCAGGAGAATTCAGGGAGAACAACAACTGTGTAAAACATTTTGGACAGCATATTTGAAACCATTTAAATGTTATGAAAATCATCTTGATCCCCCCCCATTAGGGGACATCTATATAAAAAAACGTGTGAAATTTAACCATATATATTTATTTCAAATGATTCCTTACATGTCCATGTCAATTTTTGTGGAAATCCTTGGATTCACTGATCTTGAGAGCTCCCAAAACACTTTTAGCCCCCATATGGGGATTGAAATTTGAAAATTTAAATTATCTTGTATTGTTCCTTATATGCTAATACCAGTTTTGAACAAAATTGGTTCAATCAAACTTGAGAATCTCAAAAAGCTCTTCAACCTTCATTTCTCAGGCCTCCTTGTGACTCAAAACTTCTTCAAAAAACTTCTTTTTTGAGTTCATTTTAACTAAACTCTGTCCTCTTTAGTGTATTGCTGTGCTTATTTAATTTAGGCTAATTGTTGAAAAATGTTTACATATTTTTTAACCAGTTTTGATTTTTTATTAGAGTATTTACGTAGAATTCTGTATAAAATAATGAAATAAAAGTTTTTAATACTATTAATGAATTTACTATGAAAATAATTTTGCAAATGTAATTTAACTACATAATTAGTTTGAAATAATTTCATGTCAATAGAAATGGTTATTGATTAAAATCTGTAAGAAGAAAGGTGAAATTTTCAGCAGTAATGATATTCTGCCACAGTTATTAATAATTGTGTTAAGTTTTCGTACTTGTGCACTCCTTATTCTTAAATCAATAATTTAATAGTTACATTATTGTGATAAGTAAATGCTTTGATGGTGATAACTTTGTTTTAGCATTTGTAAATATGTTTGACTGGGCCTATTGAACTTTAACTGATGTTTAACCTTTGTAAATGTTACTATAGTCTGAAAATTATTATTCTGTAAACCACAATGTCAGGTTTCTCATTTAACCAGATCTCAGTAAAGTGCTCTGATAAAGTAATAATTGTTTTAGATTCACAAAAAGTATTTATACTAAGAATTATTGGCTGAAAATGGCTAGAAATTTAGAAAACGTTTATTGATAATGTGTGTGTGTGTACATATATATATACATACAGGTACTTTTCATTTTGAATGAATTCTCTACATATTGTATTCTAATCAGTTAAGGCTACAGCAGAATGTTTCTTTTCTCTTTCTAGTTGATAATATTTCAAAATTATAAAGCAAGTTTTAACAGTCTTTGTTCTGAATCTGATTTAATGGTTTTTCTATTGGTTAGTACTTCTAAGAATTGTTTTCTATTGGTTAATACCTGTAAGAATTTTTAACAATATATTTGAAGGTTAAAGATAAAGCTTTCGTGCTTGTTTCTATCAAGAATTATATTTTTTATTTGCCACTAAAAGAAAAAAAATTTTTTTTCATAAGTATGTGCAAGTATAAAAATAAAGTGCAGTGATCTTTTAAAAAACAAGATGTTTTTAATTCCACTGTTTTTGTTAACCAGAAATGGACAAGAAACAGTTTCCAGCTTCGATCTTACCCCCAAAACTTTTCCACCATTCTGGTTTTCAAGAGTACGAAGTTTTACAACAGAGTCTATTAGTCCACTTCAGTAGACGAGTGGTAGTGGAACTTTTTTTTAAGAGATGCCATTGTAGTTTTTAGTTTCAAAGCTGTTTTTGGTAACAGTTTGTTTTCATATATATATGTACTTTTGAACACATAAGTTTGTAGCTCTCTCTCTCTGCATGTATTTTATTATCCTAATATCAAAATAACAAATAAAATTGTTATCGCATACCTTAATTTTGTTGCCAGGAGCATTGATAATTTTTTTGTGAATTTTATTACGTACTTGCAAACTGATCTTGTCTTTGTAGCGTGTGTTGAATGGACATTGGTTTAATAGTATGTTTTGTTTGTAGAAAAAGAACATCTTGTATCAAGATTGACATACATGCTTTTTAACAGATTACAACTTTTCTTTTGATACTAAAGTTCAACTTGCAGAATGAAATTTTTTTTGAATTTCATTAAAGAATGTCAGAATGTTTTAGTTATGTGAAAACTGATATACGTTACTGGTAATGTAGATAAGTAAAATTTACAAACAAAATTTGAAAGAAATTTAGAAAATAATGATTGACAACTGTTTTTCCCATATTTTTCTGAATTAAAAAATGTTTTAAAATATGTTTTTGAGCTGTAAATTGATCATTTTTATTGTGCAACTAATGATTATATGGATGGTGTTATGCAAATGGGATCTAACCCAAAATTCTTAGTTTTGAGTAAATGACCAAAATGTTTCACTTTCCTACAAAAAATCATTGATGAATACCAGATGTTCTTTCTTATTTTAATCAATGGAGATCGCTACTATGTGTTAGAACAGAACATTTACATAACAATAAACTATTCATTATGATGACAATTAGTGGTTTAGGACATTTTTGCCTAACTTAGATTTCACAAAACTGCTACTTTTCAAAAAGATATCAAGAAACGTAATAATATGCAAATCAGATTTTTAAGAAGTTGTAGATTTATTCAAAAAGACAATTACCTAAACAAATATTTTCATTCTAATCATTGGTGGTTATTGTTGTAGCTCTTGATGTAAATAGAGCAAGGTTAGTCGTCCTCAATAAGATAATCCATCTCTACATCAAAGCCGTCCACATCATCAACAATGTTCTCATCTTGAAGGATGGAGTGGTAGAACGGCTTGCAGGCATCTGGGATGAGACACATTAGGTCTCTTAGATCATTGTGCTTGGCTGCTGACACTTTTTCTCTCAGGCCATAGCAAAAGCAAGACTTTAGTGAACGGACAGCTAGGGTGCCCCTTAGTACAGTGTGCAATGTTGAGCTGCTGGGTTGCATTTTCAAACAAAGAGGTCCTCATGAAGATTACACTGGGTTCACCTTTCCGGAGTTGTTACTTATGTGTCATCAGCCAGTTAACATTTTTACCCTCTGTATCTACTTTTCTGTTGACATTTGCTTTCTCCAGTATTAAAAAAATAAAAGTTCACAAATCTATTGTTAGGGGGCAGGAAGAGGACAAAGGTGTACCTGACCCTCCCTGGTCCAACAAAATCGGACCTAAAAATCTGATACAGCAAATAATGATTATATGTGGAAACTAATATTAAAACTTTGCATTGTGAATTGTTATTCAATGGTCAGAAGGCAAAACTGCACTGTATTTTGCACTTTTTTATTAGCCATTTTCATAACCTTACTCTGAAATAAATACTGTTATGGAACTTGCTTTCAGTCACCAGTCAGTCTTAGTTTGTAAACCCAAACCAGTTTTGCATCGTGTTACGGTTAAGGATATTCCAAAGTGTAGTTTTTCAAATGTGAAAAAGTTCTGTGTGAACATTGAATATAAACAGGTGCTAAGAACACTTTAGACACCCTCTTGCACCAGAAAGACGACAGAATGAGATGGCACTGAGATGAGAAAAGTATATAATTATCTACATGCACATGTAAACTTTTACAGAACACTTCAACACCTTACCTTTATCACTTTCAAAGTTGTTCTGTAAAAATGATCTAACCCACATAGGTCATTTTTGCATGACTGATATCCATGAGTGTGGGTTGGAACTTTCCTATCTATAGCAGCAATCTAAAGGGATTGAGTTTAGGTACTTGTTTACAAAATTGACTAACACTTGTTAGTTCAGAAAATATAAAAATAACATTTTTGGGATTTTGTGGGTTATGTCACTTTTGCATAACACCATCTATATAATCTTAAAGTATAACTAGTAACGTTCTTATAACATTATTTTTTCTGGTCTGCAGTGAATAACACATTACACGTGATGGCATCTTAGATGTGTGGCTTGTCTACTGTGATTACTAGTGTTGTTTGAATGTTTTAATGACGAGACAGTCCACTGTATGTTAAAGATTGACTCATTCTCCTGTGTAATTTATAATACAAACATTTGAAATTTGTGTTACAGCATTAGTAATCATTTTGTTTGTTATGCGAAGTGTATCTCTAGTAATTGCATTGCTTTCTGCATGTTTTTTATTTTTTGCAAGTAAAAGTTTATTTGAAATTTATTTCTTCTGTTATAGTGTTAGTTTCTTGATGGTTAGTTTGGCTCATTTGGTGGGGTAAACAGAAGCTAGTATATTTCAAGTAATTGGTACATGTTTTTTACTGAACTTCTAGAAAGTAAATACCCTTCCTTTTTTTACTATTTAGATATGAGTCGCATAATCACTTCTTACATGTATATGGGTTATAATGATGTCTTCAGTGCAATAACTATGTTGACCAAAAGTATCCTAATATCTGTAATTGTATACAATACTTTCTTGAACAACAAGACTGTTGCATCGACTACCTCATTATTTACCAATCCATGCTTATTGTTAATTTCATACCCTTCTTTTTTTTAATGTTTTTTCTCCAAGCTCAGTGAATGATAAATAGAATGCAATGGTTTTAGTGGTGGTATTCACTGGCAACAATTTTTTTTATAGAAAAATAATGCAAAAATTCAAGGCAAGTAATCAGACATTACCATACATCATAAGAATCTTTATGATATTATGATTGAATTGGACTCAGTAGTTAGGGTTTATTACTTTCATACCATCTTAAGTTCTGACATTGATTTTTATATTTGAGGTGTATCAGTATAAAATGAAACATAGAATATTTTAAAAGAACACTGTAAAGATGGAGAAAGAAAATTATATGTACATTAAAATAATTTTTCTAATTTACTGTTGAGGAAAATTTGAATCGTATAATTATTTGTTTCCTAAGGGATAAAATATGTCAATTAATAGTCCTTTACTCACTACTTATAAACTAAAATACTTTAGGCGTTGAATCAAAGAATAGATTAGGCCTGTATGTTATCTTTTATTCACTTAAATTCACGTTTTGGTTAGGAAAAGAAATTGATAAATAAATAAAATAAGTCATTGTAAGCAGAGAGCAAGAAAAAAATTCTGAAGAGTATATGGTATTCTTAAAACTGAAACAAAAGTAAAGTAAAAACAAAACGGGAATGATTAATAATTAAACAGTTAAGTCAAAATTAACCACGTAAAGAAAAGAAAGAATACATGACTTCGGAACAATGATATCAAAGTGTACAGAAATGAAAGGAAGTCCTTGCTACATAAGAGATTAAAAGTCAAAAACCCAAGTATAGAAGTGACTGAAAAGGTGTATTGTTACTGACAAAACTTCACATGCATGGCTATGAAAATAATGATTGTTATTTGATTATATATCCTTAAGCAACAGTCGCCAATATGCAGAAACAACATTTAACCTGTAATAGTCATACTGTTTGATGTTTTTTTTCAGTATTGGTTTAATCATTCCTAATAAATGAGGATGATTTTATTTCTCACATGATCAGATGTTAACACATGTTTATGTTGGAGGGATGGATACTTTGTTAATATAATGCACCTGAATGATATTAGATCACTGATACACAAAAAAATTAAGTGTGCATACTTATTATATTTTTCATAACTGGATCGCAATTTACACTAGCAGTGATATGACATTCTCACCAGTCATAGAATCTTACCTATCTTCTCAAAAGATTTACACGACTCTTGAGAAAGTCGTATCATTGCTAGTGTAGACTGTCCAGTTATGAAAGAAAATGTAATTAGTGAGCACATTTATTTTTTGCGTACCAGTAATGTGTTGTAGTATTGTACTCAACCATACCCTTGACCATTAGTGTTTCCATTGGATAAAGAATGTCATTATGATGTGTTGTGAGTAGACTAATATGATTGGTATTAAATAAAAATGAGATGGTATGATATCAGGAAAATTATTTTCAAACTAGGGTTGGTGACAACATCTCTAAATGCATCATTGGTTGCAAAGTGTTCATTATGTATGTGTACTCGATATTTGACATGTATTTATCTTTAAAACTCCATTTTAAAGTTAACAAGTTTGCTTCTGTATAAAGAACTTCATAATACTTATTGCTCCAATAATGTATTTCACCAATTAGTACATTCAGTCATATTATCATTGCTTGAGTAATACTTTGATTATTTCACTTATACTACCTGATGACCAAAAGCGACATCTGGTGATACATTATTTGTTAATTCAAAATCCAGTCGTGTTTTTATTTTAAGAGTACCGTAATATTAGTTATTTGTTTATGATATATTGTTCATTTTAAAATACACGAAACTCTTTGTTCAACAGTACTTAAATATTTAAATAGTTTTTTCACATTAGTTGTCATGTCTAATCTTATTGGTCCAGTCTTTGAAACTTGAGATTTTACTATTTGTATTTTTTTGTTTTGTTTTGTTTTTAGGTAAGAAAAAATTATTGGAAGTAGTTGGTAAAGCACAGTATAGACATGAGTGCCTTTAAGAATGTATAAAAGTTAGATTTTATATACTGAACAGACTATATGGATGTTAGTTGCTTTGCTGTTACATGGTTCTGTTCGTATCTTCAGGTTTTATTTTGTGAGACAATAAATGTCACGATCAGAAGGAAAAATTAAATGGGATTATTATCATTTAGACCAATTTGAAAATATGAAATTTTTGTTGTTGATATTTCAATCCTTTAAAATTTTTAGAAAAACGCTTAAAATTAGTCATGAAGCTGTTTTTAAAATTTTAGCTTTCTGACAAAGAGGGTTGATCGTTTATGACTTCTGTTTTTTAAAGTGTCATGTATGAAAGAAGAATGCTTTTCATTTCATAGTTTGTTATCTAAGCATTGGAAAGTGTGATTATTTGACAAGCTCCTTCTGCCAAGGTTTTGGAGAGTTTAGAGGTAATAAACTTTGTGTATTTGAACCAGTACAAGGAAAGGGACTGTTTTTCAAGTGAGTGGCTTGTATAACCAGAAGGGCTTGTTTCAGTTATAATATTTTCTGTTGAAGTCTGTTACTTCGGTACTGTATTTTTTGTTGGTGCTAGGAATAAATTTTATGATCAGTAATAACCTTAATCTGTGTATTTTTGAGAGCATCTTTTTTTTTCAACATAATGTACAATTTATACTTTTAATTGAACAGTTTGCTTTGAAATATTTTTTTGAGGGCACTGATTCAGCACTATTTCAGTTGCGATGATTTGATACAGATTTAAATCAATCTAGAGTGACTATGAGTGTTCAGAAGTATATAATGTAAATCAATCAACATCAGTCTATCAAATACGGAGGATTGAGTACGTTATATTAAAAAAGGATTTCGAATGTGCAAGTCATTTGATAACCACAGCCGATATATAATCTCTGTGGAACGAAATGTATCTTAACAACATTGGCGTTACGAATGTAGCGTGAAGCCACCAAAAAAGTGGCCGTTTTATGGAAGGGTATGTAACAGCTCTTTGTAGCGCAAAATACTCTTACACCCAGATCATACAGATGTGCTCAGATTGGAGAAATAAAATTTCCATGACGGGCACACCTTACACTTAAGTTAAGGCGAGGACCATCCAAACAGAGATTTGAAGTCGTACTCCAGCAATTTTTATGCCCCAGGCAACAGTACGCAACACAATCAAGAAAGCTCTCCATCTGGAAAGGAGGCCAACAGGGTGTGAGTTCACAAAGATAAGCCAGCTATAGAATGAAACTGGTATTCATGCTATTTCATACGAACATATATACTGGTAAAACCACATTACGCAGCGCTTATCGAATTATCTGCGATTAGACTGATAAAAACAGATGGTGGAAAATTGTTGTTTTCGGATATTAGATGGATTATGGAAAGCAAGCAGTGGCTATTGTTAAGATGCACAGTCATCAGATATAGCACAACCGGGTGTGGCGACATGGACTAACGATGTGCTGAGGTTTTAAGATCGTTGTAATAGTACGTACTTAACCTATACTTAAAGAACAATAGATACATCTTTATAAGAAAGGACTTCGTAGATAATTTAAATAAAATAATTGAACCGAACTATTATATTACACAATTCTTGAACACAGCTTTTTTACGACATCTGTAGAAATGTAACTTTAAAGGACAAAATTTGTACTGTTAAATGTTGCCTTAACTACCTTTAAGTTACTAAAAGGTAAGTTTGGCTGTAAAAAAAACAACATAAAGTTAAAATTAATAGGATTAACAAATAAGTGATCTGAAATACGTAACTTGGCAGTTTAACGTGCTAAAATAATTTGCGTTTAGAAAACAATATTTAATGATATAGTTGCTTGATATTTGTTATTTTGATCATCACGATTTGTGATTTTCCAATGCATAAAGAGAACTTTGAACTTTATAACTTTTTGGGGGGTGGGTGGATGTACGTGAGAAGGAAGGATTGGTTTGTTTGTAATTTCGCGCAAAGCTACACGAGGGCTATCAGCGCTAGCCGTCCCTAATATAGCAGTGTAAGACTAAAGGGAAGGCAGCTAGTCATCACCACCCACTGCCAACTCTTGGGCTACTCTTTCACCAACGAATAGTGGGATTGACCGTCACTTTGTAATGTCCCCCCGCGACCATGTTTGGTGTGACGGGATTCGAACCCGCAGATTGCGAGTCGATCGTCCTGGCCAGGCCGGGCCTAGGAAGGATTGTTTTTGGTTAATTAAAACATCCAGATTATTAAATTAAACAACACACACATCTTTGGTGACTATTTTGGGAAAGTGCAAATATCAAGCAAATTAATTTCATTTCTGTTTGTTGGTTTATTGTCATAAAATGTTGATAATAACTTGTATAAAGAAAGTCAATGGAAAATTATCATTATCTTCATCATGCTGCTGTTCATGTTTGAATCACAAAAGTGTAAAACCCTATAACTCGAGCGTTTTCGAAAATTTGGCTTTTCTTTATCACAGGCAAACTGAGTGATATTGTTCTAAATCATTTGCATAAAGTTTTGCGGGGATACAACACAGTTATTGCAAACGTTTGAGTTGTTAAACAAGTTTGCTAGCGATACTGGTTAACCCTCTAGCGCAGCTGACAGAAGTTGTGCCAAGCTTCATTCATCAATATCCACCGAAATAACCCTAAATCACCAGTTTCTGGAATGACCCTCCAGTTGAGCATCCTAAACTCAGTACTAAAAGATGCCAGGCTGGCTCATGTGGCAGGTGTTAAAAGGTATCTACCAAAAATGATGAATGAATCCTCACAAACATCAGAAACGATCTTGGGAAAAGCCCTGAGGAGCGGTCTTGTTTGTTAAAGAGGGAAAGAATGTGATTGCTTGAGTTAAAAGTTCATTACTAAGAGTTGCTAGTTGGTTCACGTTTTTTTTTTAACTCAGTGGAGCACTCGTGTGGCAGGCGAGAGATACGGGGTTTGACATTTCAAACAAGAGAAGCAAAATATGATTAAAATTTTTTTCAGATTAATTAATGAAAGCCACTAAATTGTCTTCCTTTTGCTTGTAAAATTGATTTTTTTAAACAGTTTCAATATTTATAGTATTGGAAAGAATTATGAAAATGTAAGGATAAGTGCTATAAAAGGCATATACTAAGATAATGCCACGCCTTTATTATGTGAAATGAACAACAAAGTTTTGGCTGGACATTAATAATAAGTGTGAGAAATTCTGTTAAGACTGTGTTTTAGTAGAAGTTTTATATAAAACTGTGAAGAGGGCACGTGAAAGTGGTACTGTGAATAATAGAAGTGGTGAAGAAGAAAGCCTAACCATTCCAAAAGTAATGTTAAATATCTTTATGAGATAGCCGACAGTTGAGTATAGACCTCGTTGTAAATACAGGAGTGAATGCTAGTTCGAGAACAGTAAGATATACATCAACACGAAGTGGTCTTAATGGACGTGTAGTTACTCGAAAACCATTGCTAAGAACTGAGATTGATAAAGGTATTGGATTACAATCAGTGGAATGATCAAAGGTGGTTACGTGTGTTAGTTACAGATAAATGCAAGTTCGGATTGTTTTCCAATAATCAACGAAAATTTGTTCATCAGTGGGAGGAGAATGATAACATAGTCAATGTAAAGCATTTATGGTGATGCAAGGTGGTATATTAGAGCAAGTTTGGGGCTGCATCTCAGCCAATGGTGTCGGTGATATACAAAAAATTGATGGCACCCAGACTGATGACAAGTACAGATGGTTTCTGATCCATCGTGGGATTCATGCCTTGGGAACATGATTCTTTCAGTAAGACTATGATCCCAATCATACAGCAAACTCGGCTTGTAAGAATCCCAATATGGGCTTATATATGGGCTTATTTTAAAACTTATATTTTAAAAATATTTCAGTCACATATTTATAAAGTGTATGGCAACATAAAAAAAAAAGAGTTTTCATGCTCTGTGAAAAGCAAAGAACTTGCATACATAATACAAGTGCATTGTACAAATTGTTCAATTTTCTTTTGTATTTTCTGTGGTAATGTTTTGTACCATTAATAAATTTACCACCTAGATTCCATGACAATTTTTCGAAATGATTATAAACACCATAATCAATAATATTAATGCAGCTGGCCAAAGAGAAGTCTTCATTTAAATATTTAAAGATATCATTAACGATATAATAGACAATGCTTGCATAAATAGGAAAGGAGAAGGTCATTACTTACATAACACACGTGAAGGTCCAGTCAATTGCTTATATGATCTATATAGCTAAACAATGCGCAAAACCTGTATAGGCATTGCAATCCAGTAAGATAAATTGGTTTAGAGCAGCAACAACAATAATATAAATCAAAAGTGTTTTTCTCTGTCATTCTATGTATCGCTTACCAAACAGCAGCAAGCCACTAATGAAAACCAAAATTATGGTTTAATCAATTGATCCTATCAAATCTTAATAGATTGGTAAAGATGCATATTCAATTTGGACTAAGACAAGTGAAACATAATAACACTTTTGTAAAGAGCAAGAAGAAAGTTCCCACATCTTATGTTTTTTAGCTAAGGCCTTCGTTTGCTCTCACGATGATAAAAACATCTGACAAAGATACTCTTTGTCATAGAATACCAGTTGTTGTGAATCTGCGAGGAAAAGTTTTGTTTCCTTGGATTTTCCTGTGACACCAACTAAATAAAGTGAATCGACTTGCAAGCGCTGGTACAACATCTTGCTAGGTCAGATACTGGTGTTGGTGGCCGTCCAGGACAGTAAATGTATTTTAATGTGGACTGTTGTATTTATCTTAGGTGGTTCTCAATGTATATTGATACACATGGTAGTGACAGTACCAATATTAAACCTGTTTAAGAAAAATGTAGCTGAAAAGTCTTAGTTTGGCTGAATTCTACTAGTGAATATTTAGTTCGTGTTGACGAGAAAACGAATTGATTTTAATGGTTCATAGACTGCAGCAAACTATGCAGCCAATAAGGAGGAGAAAGCTGAAAGCACTTACTTGACTGCGCACGATAAGTCAGATGAAGAAGTGCTAGACAGTAGAATGCTTAGCATATCAATAGTTTGCACAACTGAACATGATAACTAGGAGTTCGAATACTCAGCCGAAAGGGTGTTGCAACTCTTGTTTTCTTAGCTATTGTGTGTTATTGTACAATACAATGTATGCACTATATCGTATAGTTACCATTTGATTATTATCAGTGGTGTTCCTTGCTTTCATAGCTGTTGCTTGGTATTTTCTGACAAAACGTATGTATTGCATTTTGGGATTACCACTCGATTACTTGCAGGAAAGGTGGTTTGTTGATCATAAAATCAATCAGACTGGAAGGGCTTTGTAACCCTTACTTTCAGAGCTATTGAGCAGGGTTTCACTATCAGAGATATTTTTAAGATACTGGATAAGAGCTGCTCAGATATCACACAGTTTAAGATGATCGGTTCTAATGAATGTAACAACTAGAACATCAACAGTCTGCACAACTGAAGATGAATACTAAGAGATCGAAAATTTGAAAGAGCATCGTGTCCTTTGTTTTCTGAGCAACTGAAGGATTTTCTGTTGCAAAATAGTTTTATATTTCGTGAGAATGACTTTCCAAATCTAA